GCTTCGCTACCTGACGGCTGCAGGGACCAGCACCAAACACTGCCTCCCTCTGCCCATCTCCCCCTCAGTTAGAGCTGAACAGGAGGAAAGAACCCTCACCAGAGTAAACACAGCTGCCAGCTTACCTTAATCACACTCCCAATATGGTTCTGTTGAATTAAGAGATCTGTTAGTTCTGCAGTGCTCACAGAAGCCTTTAGGAAAAGCTAAAATGGAGAAGAAAATTTAAATTCAGATCAAAGCAAAAAATTTTTAATAAAATATCATGTCCCTCATTCAAATAAAAGACAACCAAGAAGATAACTTGGAAAAGCAACCTCAAGAGGAAGAGAAAAGCACGAGTCAGTGAAGCTAAAAGGTTAAGGTATTTCAAAAAAGAGCAGTCAGTAAGGGCAAATAAGGAAAGGCTTGAAGGGAGGGAGACAGAGCTGGTGACCGGGGGCCGACCAGCCTAGAGGGACACAGCCTTATTTAAGGAAAAAGTAAACCGAGGCAGCACCATGAGGCGCAGGCAAATGACTATTATGTAAGAACCCTATGCCACAACGTCTGGGTGTGAATGAAGAGTAAACAGAACAGGAGCTCAAGCAGATCAGCACATGAGAAGGAAGGCATTTGAGGACAGTAAACTTAACATATTAATCAGGGGACCGGATCTAGCAGCACAGCACAACCAGGTTAGCCCTGGAGAAGAAAAACAATTCTTCCAGGTGAAGTGCAGAGGCTAGAAACCAGAGCTCTGAAAGGATGAAATGTGAGCGTTTGGGTTGAATTGCTGGATTTTCTCAGAAGGGCAAAGGTGTGGGTGACAAATAACAGACAATACCTGTTGTAGTAATTTCTTAATTCCGTCATGATCACTATCTGAGATGGAGTAAGCTTCAAAGTCAACACTCACTTCCTGTAAAGAACATACAAAAAAGGTCATCCCAGGGAACTTTCCAAGACAATTCAGGTATTATTTTTCTCTCTTCTCACCATTCTTTTAGGTTTATTTTCTATTAAGCATTTACACAAAATGAAAAAAAAAGACAATAAGCAGAAAATATTACTTGAATGTCCTAGGCTTCAAAACAAGCAAGCAAAGGTCAGGCATGATGGTGCATGCCTATAATCTCAGCATTGGGGAGGCTGAGGCAGGAGGATTTCCCAATCTGAAGCCAGCATGGCCTACAAGGCAAGAGCCTGTCTCAAAAGGGAGGAAGGGGGAGGGTAATTGCCAAAACTGCCACCTGTGCAGATTACAAAGAACACTGACACATTTTCCTTTTCCTCATGTGATACAAGAGCTGGAGAGAAGCAACACTCTTAAGTGACCTAGTTAAATGCTGAGAAATCAGCAACAACACCGCCACCTCAGCCACAAAGGAGAAATGACCATTTACCTGGCTGCAAATCTCTAGAACTGCCTAGTGCTTGATTTAACCCGTGGGCCGGAGTCCATGGGTTAAGCATCTCTTTGCTGGTACCAAGCACTGGGATGAAATGGTAAGCAAAGCAGGTAAGAATGTGCTTAACTGCCCAGGTGGGAATTCAGACATCAAGAGGACACTCAGAAATCAAAGTCAAGTTGCAAGTACATGCACATGAAAAAAGGAACACTGTGCTATACCAGGTTCAGCAGCAGAAGTCAGGAAAAAAGTGACAGGCGCTGGGAAGTGAGAACAAAGGTGCTAAGGCCCTGCAGTAGAAAAGTAACTCCAAGAGCCTAGAAGATATATAGGTCCAGGGCTCCCGATCTCCCTGAGAAATAGCAATGGAATCTAAGAAAAGATGCCAACAACAATCGCAGGTGTTTCAAAATACTACCCAAGACCTCACTATGCCTTGGTAAGTGATACACTGAGCGTGGGCCGATGAGGCAGCAGACGTCCTTCAGCTTTATGGCATGATCGTAGCTGAAGGACTGAGGGGAAACTAGACCTCAGGGCTTTGCCACCCTGACTGCACGTAGTTAAGTGTCCTTCAGCTGTTAACTTGCCGGGGAAGGGCACCTAGTGCAGCCTGCAGACTTCAAATCCCACTCTGAAATAGGCGCAGCACGCACGTGGTGCACACGGATTACCGTCCATGCCCCTTCCCGGCCTGGGCCCCTAGCCACACAGGCACAGTAAGAACCTGCTCAGCAGAGTTTAGAATTAGGGCTATGGCACATAGCCTTCTTCCACACAGACGCGAACAAGAGTCGTAGTGGGACCCACAGGTCACAAGAGCCTTCACCAAGTAAGCCTGTTCCCAGCGGTTCTCGGCCTCTGGCTAAGCTCAGGTGCCAACATGCCTTCTTTTCCCCTTTCATTAGCCCTACCTCTCCTTCGCGTTCACTTACTCATTTTCTCTGGTTCATCCTTTTGCCTCACTTTTTCCTTTCAGTGAGGCTCTTCAGGACTTTAACCATATACATTCCTTATTACTTACAAGCCACCTTGTTTCACAACAGATCTGATTTTGACTTCCCAAACAGTTACTATGGTTTCCTAAATCAAGAGGTGTAGATGATTGAGCATCTCAAGTATAAGAAAGCTTCCTTGAAACAAAGGAATAATATCCATCAAATATTTCAGTAAAAGAAACTGTCCTAAAAGCTGTCAGAAAAGACAAATATGCCAGGAGGTAAAAAGGGATAGGGAGGCGAAACTTACTGCCTATTTCTTAGTCCCGTGCTCCTCTCCAGGGGCCCTGATCACATAACCTGACACATTTTGTTTCTTTTTTCCTCCACATAAAGACTATCTATGTGTGTTGTTTTCGCTTAGCTTGCTGTGTGGTCTCACATAATAATAATAATTCCTAATTTTAAAGGATTGATATGGCCATTAAATGAGTTAATATAAAATGCTCACAATCTAGGCTAGGAGCTGCTGTATGGTAAATTTTTATAAGTTGCTGAATCAAGGGATATTAAAAACTCTTAATTCTGACATTGTCAAATTAGAGATTCCACTAATTACACTATGATGATCACTACAGACTTCAAGTTTTAGACATAGGCAGCCTGTTAGATTTTCCACTTTAATGCAAGAAGCATTGATTTCTATAATCCAAAATTAGCGGAATTACTATTCACAGTTCTACATGAAAAATGTTGAGTAAGCATCCAGGGAGCTGGAATAAAGAGCTAATTTGGAAGGGAGGTGGATCAGTTACTAATAGTCCCCTCTAGTCTGCATCCACACGGTACCTTCCCCTGTATCCTCTGTCTAACGCATGCTTACCTCTACACCTTCATTTCCGTCAGTCTTTCTTGCTTATCCTGAGCCATCCTGGTTGCCTTTTTTCCCTCAACCATAAGGACTTGGGATTTTCTACAGGAAGCTAATGGAGTATTCTGAGCAAAGGAGTGAGAAGAGACATATTAGATCTGTCTGCTATAAATGGAGTCGATTATAGAAAGACAAGAACAGAAAGGCAGGGTCTGCTCAGTGGTTGAGTGCTTGCCCAGCATGCACAAAGCTCAGGGATTGATCAACAGCACCACAAAAAAATACAGCTGCATACAATTTCAAAGTGGCTATGCCCAGATACCCTAGCCCCAATATCATTAAACTACACTTAGTAGTAGTCCAGGCAGGACTACATGGCGCGGGGTGTGCAACAAGAGAGCTGAAGAACCAACTACCCATATGCTGAAGGAGGCAAAGCCGGCGGGTGTACAGATGGCCTGAACACAGCGACACAAAGTAGGAGTTAAGCTCACACCTAGTTCTGGAATTCGAGCAGCTGCTGAATTTGGGAACCATGTACAGAAAAGGTGGCGACTGGGAAAGCCAAGTCTGACACTTAAACATTCAGGGGTCTGGAACGACCCGTCCTAATGATGCCCTCCACAAGGGAAGGGCTGTGTGTAATACCAGGCTTTAGGGTAGTAACTAATCTGAACGAAGAAACTCAGTTCTAGGAGGCCATAAACACGATTAGCTCCGCTGTCCCAGAGGGTCAGAGAACATAGCCTAGCTGAGATCGGAACACAGAAAACCTGGAATGAGATGCGCTTGAAAAGATTAAGGAAGGCTAGAGCGGGAAGCCTTCGAGAAAGGGGAGCGAGCCGCAAGGGAAGCAAGACCCGTGCGGAGAGGAGGGCTGCACTTCGCAGATCCTGTCGGCGGGGCGCCGGGCGCTCCGCGGGTCCCCGCCGTCCCGGGCACGGGGCGCCCCGCGGGTCCCCGCCGTCCCGGGCGCCGGGCGCCGGGCGCCCCGCGGGTCCCCGCCGGCCCATTCTGGACTTGGAGCGCTCAGGCCAGAACTGAAGGGAGCCGCGGAGGAGCGAGGTGAAGTGCGGGGTGGCGGGGGCTTCCTGCGGTGGGGAGGCCGGCGCGGGAGGGGTCCCGCCGCTATCCCGCGCGGCTGCGGACCGACGTGGGACCCGCAGTCGGCCTGCTCCGGCTTGGGGCCCCAGCCCCAGCCGGGAAGTCGCCGCTCCGCGCAGACGTGCGTCTCACCTCGCCCACGATCCCGTCGTCGTCGTCGTCGTCCTCTTCTTCGTCGCTGTCCTCATCGTCCTCGGTGTCACCCTCCTCCTCCTCGTCGCGCTGGGCCTGGTCCCCCGGCGGCAGCGGAACCCCACTTCCCACCGCTCGCCGTTTGGCCCTGGACGCCATGCTGCTTCCCACTCTGCGCCTGCGCAAGTTACAGCGCCTGCGCAAGTTCCAGCGCCTGCGCAAGTTCCAGCGCCTGCCCTTCCGACCAAACCATACTAGTCAAGGGGGAGGAAGGCCGCACATCAGCACAGCCTGCTCCGTGTCACTCTACGGTAGTAACTTCACAGTTTTCATTCCAGGCTAGGGTGCTATTTGGAGCTGTTTTTCCTCTTTCCATCCTCTCCCCTCACTCCGTGCACGGCTCCCCCTTTCTTTCGCACAGCGGTTCGATCCATCCAACCAGCTTCCTTCCGCCGCGGTCTGGCTGTCAGTGCGCCTGCGCGACCTCCCAGCTGCGAGCTGCGGGGCCGGGGCCCCGGGGCCTGAGCGACGCGCGACCCGGCGTCGGCAGCGTCCCGGAAGTTCAGGCTACCAGTGAAGGGCGGGGCCTTGTCGTCGTCCTGCAGCCCCTGTGGTCTCTTCGCGGGGACGGCGGGACGCTGCCCCTTCCCCCGCCGAGCCTGCAGAGTGCGGGCGCAGTGCGTGTGTGCGTGCAGGGCCGCCCTCCGGCGGCGCAGGCCCGGCCTCGGCCTCGCCAGCCCCGCGAGGTAGGTGCCGCTGGCCGCGCACGCGCACCGAGCGATGCGCGACCCCGTGGGGTCCCGGCCCCACCGCCCCCAAGGCCCTCGAGGACGCCGCCTGCCCGGGCAAGCCTTGGCCGGTGTGGCTGCTCCCGGCCCTGCGGGATGCGCTGCCGACGCCGTGGCCCTCGATGCTCCCGGGCCAGTGGGATCGACGTAAGTCGGAGACCTGAGCCCCTCCGGACAGAACTCGAGGGAAAGAGCCGTGGCGGCCGCCGGAAGCGGCCCAACCCGGTCAGATCCATTCAAGAAAAGCTGGATTCTTACTCGAGACTCCTTGATCGCTACTATCTGTACTACAGAAAGTGGGTCTGACAGGCAGACCATCTACAGGTTATCGACTTGCACCTGTTGTGAAAGTTACCCTTTGGAATACAGGATTGTTAGAGAAGATGGCAGGCATTCTGAGAATGACATCTCTATTTTTTTTTTTTTTTTGTAAAAAGATGGTCAGGGATCAGATGTTTTGATTCTAAAAACTCCCGTGAGTGCAGCATGAAAACCTTTCTGCTTCTCATAACATAAAGGAAGGTTAGGAGGAGCTGGGAAGGTGGCTCAGTGGTAGAGTGCTTGCCTCGCATGCATGAGGTCCTGGGTTTGATTCCTCAGCTGGTAGTGGTGCTGTGGCTCAAGTGGTAGGGCGCTAGCCTTGAGCTGAAGAGCTGAGGGACAGCGCCCAGGCCCAGAGTTCAAGCCCCACAATGGACAAATAAATAAAGGTCAGGAGACCCTCAGGCTCCCTGTCAGCCCACACTCTGTGTGATGAGATGTATCCTTCTGAAAATGTCTTGGTCTAGTGGGCCATATTGTGGATAGTAATCTTCCTTGACACAGCAGAGCCCACACCGTGGGAGGTGCCTTGAAATGGCCCTTAAAAGCACCCTGTAATGTACACCTATTAAAAAGCCAGGATCAGAAAAATAACTTTTACAGCACCATGCCACCATGGCAGTATTGTCGCACCAGGGCATCATGGATAAAAGCAATCAATTGACTTATTTCTGAATGTGTAGTTTCAGTGGCATGAGTGCATGCACGTAGTTACACAGCCATCACTGCCATCCCATTTCCTTAGCTCTCCAGCTCAGAAAACTATTCAGTAAACAACTTCTCATTATCTCTTTGTACAGCTACCTGGCAACCACCTTTCTACTTTTCATCTTGAAATTTGATTATGAGCTTCATTTAGGTGAAATCAGCACTCTTACTGTGTCAGCATTTCTCCTTGTTAAGATTACATAATTCCCCTTTGCACATACATGCCACACTTCATTATCAACCTGTCTGTGGACCCTGGATTTGCTCACGTGCTGTTGTGGAGATGAGCACACACAGGGCTTGAGTTCAAGCTCACTGCCACCCAAAAAGAAATCCAAACAGTGGATTAACAAAACTTTACTTTTCTCTGATGGGATAGTCCTAGTTCGTGTCATACTAGTTCTGTCATACAAATAGGGCCATGTTCCTTCTATCTTGTTCTAGCATCCTTACATCATGTACAAGGGGGCTAGCCACGTGGCCCATGATCTATCCAACAGGAAAAACAGGGAAGGGGGAAACACACACTTCCCTTCCGTAAGTTGTACATACCGCTTCACCTTCTTCCTGTCAGCCAGAGCCTAACCACCAGGCAACAACAGCTCCATATTTTCATTGAGGTGGTCATATGCCCCAAAGTACAATGGCGTTCCATTTCTGTGAAGAAAGGATCTGGGGATATTTCCTGACAGCTGGCAATCTGCTGCACTGCTAGACCAGTTAAGACTGACAAGGTCTGTTTCCACCTAGGTTTTGCAGCAGTTTGACTCTTCTTTAATGAGACTGTGTGGCTTTATTTTTGTTGTTGTTGTTGGTTGTTGTTGGTCATGAGGCTTGAATTCAGGGCCTGGGTACTATCCCTGAGCTGCTTTTGCTCAAGGGAAGTGCTCTACCACTTGAGCCATAGTGCCACTTCTGGCTTTGAGTAGTTTATTGGAGATCAGAGTCTTGTGGACTTTTCTTCCCTGGGCTGGGCTAGCTTCAAGTCATGATCCTTAGATCTCCACCTCCTGAGTAGCAAGGATTACAGGCGTGAGCCACTGGTGCCTGACTCCCAACCCACTCTTAAAGCCAGCGTCACCTCTACAACTTACCCCCATGCCAGGATCACTTTTGCCTAACCTACTATGGCCTGCAGCCACAGAAGCCCATGGTTCTAATGTGTGGATCCCATAGCTGCACAATCTTGAATGGTTCTAATGTGTGGAACCCATCGCTGTACAATCGTGAATGGTTCTAATATGTGGATCCCATCACTGCACAATCTTGAATCTTTGGGGGATTCTTTTTTCTCATGAACTCCAAAGGCACCTTTGCTGTACTAGAACTACCTTACACTTCTCTCCTGAGAAGACCCTGGACCTCCTAACACACACTTCTCTCCTGGGGAGACCCTGGGAGACTCCTAACACACTTCTCACTGTCATGCAGGTCTCGGTGTCACTCCCTCAGAGAGCTCTCCCTGGAGAAGTGACTAGCTCCTAGCATCTCACTGTTCCATCTCGTGGCCCTTGTTAGTACTGAAATTACCACTCACACTCCAGCAAACAACGCAGACCTCATTTCCCTAAAGAAGATTTGGGCTTAAGGGATTTGGTTTCTCTGAGTAGTAAATAGAAAACACTGATGGGAGAGACTTGTCTTCTGTTACTTGAAAGTATTACTAAACTATCCTTTGAAATCATGGAACGCTGAGAGCCAAGGACTGTGGTGGGACATGGAAAGGGTTCAAACTGCATTCTGTTTTGGCTTTTTAGTATCTATAATAGGTGGCAGCCTTTGTGGGCCCCCCCAGAAGAATGTATGCCTCAGAAAATGCCAAGATTTACTTACCATTAGATGGCATATGGGATCCCTGGAGATTTGTTGCAAGTGATGATTGCGTTGTACACCTGTGAGGAGTAAGAAGGCAGGTCATCCTGGTTGAAGCTGAACCTGTGCCCATAGGTTCGGAAGCTCAGCTCTTAACTCTTGTTAAGGCCTTTGGACTGATTGAGTCAGGCCCATCCATAATTTCTAGGATAATCTCCCTCAATAAAAGCCAAAATACCTTCAGAGTATCCCCTCCCTGAGAATTTATGAATAACTGGGAGCTGCAGCTATGTTCATTAGCTTTTTATAGTTGTGTCCAAAATAACCCAGAGAACAGCTTAAAGGAGGAATTTCTTTGTTCTGGTTCATAGTTCCAGAAGTTTCAGTCCATCAGGGGAGGACATGGAGCCATAGAGCAATTCACGTGGTAGCTAGGAAAGAGAGAGAGAATATTAATGAATGCAGAGAGAATAATAAGTGGATGCTGGTGCCAGCTGACTTTTTCCTCCTCCAATGCCATCCAGGCCCCCAAGCCTGTGTGATGAAGCTTCCCACATTCAGGGCAGGTGCTCTCTCCATAAGTTAATCGCCCCTGGCAACCCCTCTACACCCTGGGTGCTTCTCAGTCCAGTCAGTCTAACTGCCAGGATTAACCATCGTAGGTCAGTGTGGTGGCACATACCTGTAATCCTGGCAATGGGAAGGCAGAGGCAGAAGGATCACAAGTTCCAGGCCAGCCTGGGCTACGTAGCAAGGCCCTGCCAACCTTCCCCCACCCCCATCAGTGCAATCATCTAGAGGGAAAAAAAAGACTCTGGCTCAGATAACCTAGCCAAAGTGACATAAAAATGACCATAGTGAGACAAGTGGCCTAATTTCTGGGTGTGAGACATTTTGAGACCTCAGAAAATGGCAAGCCACATTGCCAGGTTCCCAAATCAATCACTCTAGCACTAGGAAGCAATAATAATTAGAATCTGATTTCATAATTATTTTTTGTTCAGCCAGGTGTGGTTGCTTAAATGCAGAGCAACTCATTCTGAGCCAAGGTGGTCCATAGATAAAATATTTTCCATAGATGTAATATGCTAGGACATAATCAGTAGTAGCATACAAATCTGGCTCCTAGAGTTACATCTTTTTTTTTTTTTTGGGTCCGGTCGTGGGGCCTGAACTCTGGGCCTGGGCGCTGTCCCTTAACTCTTCAGCTCAAGGCTAGTGCTCTACCACTTAAGCCACAGCACCACTTCCGGCTTTTTTCTTTTTGCTTATGTGGTGCTGAGGAATCGAACCCAGGGCCTCAGGCATGCAAGGCAAGCACTCTACCACTGAGCCACCTTACCAGCCCTAGAGTTACATCTTTACTTCTAACCATGTGTTCTGTTAACTCTCATCAGCCACGGCCTACAATATTAAATAATGATGGGTATAGTGCTGTTATGGGATGATTTGCTTTTCAAGCAAAGATCTTCAGTAGCTCTTATTGGAGGCCTTTGGGAAGTTATTATGATGTGTTCTACCCCTTATTTCAAGTGTAATGTTCATTATTTTCAGAAATTTGGGGTAATCTGAGAAAACTAAAAAAAAAATCACTAATATAGCAGTAAGAAATAAGTATATTAATTCTTAGGCTTTCATATATATGTTTTCATACTATTTATATAACTGAATCTTGTATTTTATATAACATTTTCAATTAAATAATCCATGTAATTAATTTCTTTCTGAATATTTTAATGATTTTTTTGTGACATTGCATCATGATTTATGTAACCATTCTCTCACTGTAATATTTACATTATTTCCAGCTATTTCTAATAATAAAGAATACCAGGGCCACCAGGTACTGGTGGCCCATGCTGATAATCCTAGCTACTGAGGATCATGGTTCACAGCCAGCCCAAACCTGGACAGAAAAGGCTTTGACTCATATCTCCAACTAACCATCAAAAAGCTGAGTTGGAGCTGTTGCTTAAATGGTACAGCACAAGCCATGAGCACAAAAGCTCAGGCCCTGAGTTCAAGTTCCAGGACTGCCTGCCCCCTAACCAAAAAAAAAAAAGAAGGAAGTAAAAAAAATGCCAAGGTGAACATTTTCATGTTATTTATACACATTTATCAGTAGTGCCTTCTTATTTATACTTAGAAGTAAAATTAGAGAAAGAAAAAAATAAAGCTTTAGAAACATATCAACAAGTCATTCTCCATATTGTAACACTTGGCAACATCTATACACATCTTTTTTTCCTTCCCAGTTCTGGTAATTGAACTCAGGGCCTCATACTTGCTAAACAAGCATTCTACCACTGAAACCAGGCCCCACTCCAATAAAAATTATTTTGGCAGGGCTGGGAAGGTGGCTCAGTGGTAGAGCGCTTGGAGGCCCTGGGTTCGATTCCTCAGCACCACATAAGCAAAAAAGAAAAAAGCCGGAAGTGGCGCTGTGACTCAAGTGGTAGAGCGATAGCCTTGAGCTGAATTGCTGAGGGACAGCGCCCAGGCCCAGAGTTCAGGCCCCACGACAGGACCCAAAAAAAAAAAAAATCATTTTGGCAGATGACTTAATCAAGTTGGTGTAATCATTTTCTAAGTGATCTAGGAAGTGGTTAGTACATTTATTGTGAAATGAAAATAATCATTTATGCCTTAAAATGTGAGATGGTCATTTGTCTGTTACTAATGCAAGCCAGAATTCGTAGCACTTCTCTGAATGGCGAATGTTTGCATAGGACACTTGACTTTCTTTCGCTAATGGCTTTCGTCTGCCTTCCCAGGTGATATCAGCTGCTAACATGCTCCCGCTTGACCTTATCAGTGACAGGAGTCTGCAGAAAGAACAGCCAGGAATGCTCAGTCACAGTGAGGAGCCGTTACCTATCTCCTCCCACGCTCTGTCCCCAGAGTCTTTGACATCTAATTAAGACCTGTCTCCTTCCTCTGTCACAGTGCCCATAAAGACAGCCAGGCAATCATGAAAGTTCTTTTACTGAAAGACTCAAAGGGGAATGACTGCGGCCAGGATCCCTACATCAGGGTAAGTGGCAGCACCTCCCCCACCCCCACCAAACTAAAGCTCCCTTGTAATGGAGTCCAGGTGTCTGGTACTGGGTGGTAGGGGGGTCGAACTCAGTGGCTGTGGCATGGGATAAATTGTTAGTGTGATACTATTTCAAAATACATGTGAGTAATCAACACATAGATAACTTAGAAAATTATTTTCTCAGCTTGATTATAACTGATGTGTATTGGAGTGGGGCCTGGTTTACGTGGTGGAATGACACTGACCCTTTGCTTATTTTCAAAACAGTCCTGGCCAGTCCACAACTGCGTTGCTTTCATTTGCAGGAATTAGCACTGCATGGACTTCAAGCCACGTTGGTTCCTGTGTTGTCGTTTGAGTTTTTGTCTCTCTCCAGTCTCTCTGAGAAGGTAAGGCCCATGGTTTCTGAACCCCGTGTTAGTGTAAGATCCTCACTGACCCATTCTAGCCCATTTTACCACTGGCCGATGCAGACTGCCACGCTGCCCTGCCATCTTCCTTCCCTGAGCCGCTTCCAGCTCCATGGCGCGGGGCAGATTTAGACAGGGCTGGGCCAGCGCCACCTCAGAGCTCCAGGACCTTTTTATTCATCTTCTCATTCAATCTGCCTGACCTCCGCATGGCAGACTGGAAAGCTGTGTTCCCAGTTTAAAAACTGAAGTTCTGCCGGGCACCAGTGGCTCACGCCTGTCATCCTAGCTACTCAGGGGGCTGAGAGCTGAGCATTGTAGTTCAAAGCCAGCCTGGGCAGGATGGTCCTTGAGACTCTTAACCTCCAATAAACTACTCAGAAAACTGGAAGTGGCGCTGTGGCTCAAGTGGTAGAGTCGGTTTGAGCCAAAGAGCTGAGGGTCAGCACATAGGCCCAGAGTTCAAGCCCCACAACTGACCAAAAATAAAAACAAAAACTGAAGTTCTAGGTTAGGCAACTCAGCCAAGGCCTCTGGCCATTAGAAGTAGGGCTGGACTCCACCCAGGGCTTTTGTAGTTCTGCCAGGGGTAGGAGTGGCAGATAGTCCAGGAGACAGGCCACTGTCCTGGAAGGCTGAGGGGGTAACCCTGTGGTAGAACATTTGCCTGGCATGCATGAGGCTCTTGTTTTGATTCCCTCATGGCAAAACACAAGATTCAGTGCCCACAGCTTCTGTGGGATCAGACGTAGAGTGCAGCCCACCGTGGCACATGTTTGTGTTGGGAAGGTCATCGTCAGTATTACCTGGGGAACCGTGGGGTGGCATGAACTCTGCCCACTGCCTCAGGCGGGGTGAGGCTGCCTGTCCCGTCCCCTGTCCCCCCGCCCCCCTTCCCCGCCCCCTCCCCCGCCCCCCTTCCCTGTCCCCCCGCCCCCCTCCCTCTGCCCCCTCCCCCTGCCCCCTCCCCCCACCCCCTCCCCCGTCCCCCTTCCCTGTCCCCCCCTCTTCCCTCCCCTGTCCCCCCGCCCCCCTCCCCCGCTCCCCTCCCGTCCCCGCCCCCTCCCCTGTTCCCCCGCCCCCTCCCCCCGCCCCCTCCCCTGTCCCCCGCTTCCCTGATGCTCATCGCGTGTGGCAGCAGCCTGTGAGTTTCTTGCTGGCAGTGCTGCTCCAGTGAACTAGCTCCCCTGGCCCGAGGCCGGGCATAGCTCCTGGCCCGCAGTCAGCACTGGATAAGCGCTGGTGGCGCAGGGTGGAGGTGGGAGGAGCCGCGGCGCCACTCCCCGCACAAGCAGGAGGTGCGTGGGCTTGCGGTCACAGCTCCCTGGGCGCGGTCATAGGAGGGGCCTCTCTTGCTTTTGGTGTGCAGCTGTCTCATCCCGAGGATTACGGGGGACTCATCCTTACCAGCCCCAGAGCAGTGGAAGCGGTGGAGCTGTGTCTGGAGAAAGACAGTAAAACTGGAGGTGAGGTGGGCTGCGCTGAGCGCTGGGCTTCCGTTTCCTCGTTTCTCCCTCAGACACCCGATCTGCAGGCTGCTGCGCTCTTGCGGGAGCTGTGCGCTGTGCGCTGTGCGCTGTGCGCTGTGCGCTGCGGCTGGGGTCAGGAGCCAGGGGGAGGGCGGGGGTGGGCGTCTCTCCTTGCTTTTGAAATGTTCTCTCCCTGGACATTTGTGTCTCTCCTCAGAATGGATGAGGAGCCAGTTTTTCCCTCTGGAAATAGGAGAGTTACCACTTCCCTAATGACAAGAGAGTTTAGCAAAGTATGAGGAATGGCCCGTGCCCGCCGCGCCCCTGTGGCCTGCCATCTCATGGACTTTCTTCCTCTCTGCTTCCCTGGCAGTGGTATGCCCCGGCAAGACCCATTCTCCAAACCCCGTTTCAGACGACCTTTCTGAGCTCCACTGAGCAGCCTCCGCGCTAATGTTCATGGAGAGCCTGCTGTGCATCAGGCTCCCAGTTAAATCCTTCATGTGTGTTCCCCTTCAGTACTAGGCACCGATTCACAAGGCACTGCGCTCCGGGGTGGAGGTGTAGCAGGTGTGGGTAGCAGTGTGTAGACTTCAGAGCACCTTAGGTCTGGGTTTACACAGCCATTCTGACCGTGGCCAGCATTTGACCTCTGCCCCTCAGTGTCCTTGGCCTTGAGAGGCCTCATAACCCCTGCATTGCAGGCTTGTTCTACTCCCGAGAACCACTGTGGCCAGATTCCCACTCTGCCAGGTGCCGTCCTCAGCTACCCCATGAAGTGCGTGCATGCGTCGAGCCCCTGGGAAGGTGGCCTGAAACACCCGGGCACAAAGCTCTCAAGAGCATGCAGTGTCACGCCATGGCTCTGTGTCCTCGCTGCCTTGCGTGCTGTAGAGGAGCGCGCACGCAGGCTCCTGGCTCGGGGCAGTGCTGCGTGACCCGCGGTGGTGGCCGTGCGTCCCTGTGCTCACAGCCTCCCATGGAAGAGAACGTGCCGGGCGAGCACGCCGAGAAGCTCAGAGCTGGAGCCACTTGTTTCCAGCGTGGACAGAGGGAAGGCCGGGGCAGCATGCTGTCCTCTCCTAGGGAGCTTCAGGGGCTTCGTCTCAAGAGAGTGAAGCTCATGAAGGAGAAACCCCGGAATGGACACGGCCACTGCTGTCCTGTTTAACAGTTCCAAAAGCATTTCCCATACACTTCCAAACTGATTCCCCCAACCGTCTACCATAGAGGTACTGTGCACCCCATTGTGGGTGAAGAAATGTTAGGGGTGGCCTGACTGGCCCGGCTGGTGGGCAGAGCTGGCTCTGCAGACAGGCTTTTCTGTCCGAAGCTAGGGCCGGCGCCGTCATTGTTGTGCTGTGAGCCTTGGAAAAGGTTGTTCTAGTACGGGTAATTTTCTAATATTCCTTAACATTAGTAGGGTAGGGAAGAAGGTGAGAGTGTGTTTCAGGTAGCTGTTTAAAAGGAATTTTAATGTACAGTAGCACAATTGAATTGAGGGGCAAGTTAGGCTCATATCACATTTATAGGCAGGTTAAACTATGTTGTTTCTTTGCCTTCTACAAGTGTGTGAAACCCCTGTGGCCTTGTAACGTTTATATAACCCATCTTCTTTTTTGTTGTTGTTGGTCATGGGGCTTGAACTCAGGGCCTTGGTGCTGTCCCTGAGCTTTTCTATCCAAGATTAGTGCTCTACCACTTTGAGCCACAGCTCCACTTCAGGTTTCTGGTGGTTAACTGGTGATAGGAGTCTCACAGACTTTCTTGCCTGGGCTGGCTTTGAACCGTGAACCTCAAATCTGAGCTTCCTGAGTAGCTAGGATTATAGGCATGAACTCCTAGTACCGGGCTAACCTACCTTCTTTGTAGATCTTTAATCCATATGTAAAGCTCTCTCTTTGTCACTGAATATTTTGTCTGTTAATGAAGGTAAAATATACTATGCCTATTAAACAATAGGCCTTCTCATCTGAGATTAACTTTATTGACTACTTTCAGCTTTACGTCCCAATTTAAACTGATGTATTGTTTTATTAGACTGGTTACTTTTTTAGAACCAGTGACTTTTTCTTTAAAGCTTAGATTTTTATCATAATATCACCTTGCAGGTTAATTCTTCAAATTCTGTTTTGTTCTGTTTGCTATACAATGCCAATGCTTGAGATGTCATCTGTGTAAATGAGTAAACTCAGGCAGGCCATGCTGAAACCCTTACCAGAGTGAGTGCTGCCTGCAGATATGGATAATGTGAAAATGGAATTTTAGTTTGAGATGCTACTATCCTTTTTATTATTATCGTTAAGTAGTTGTACTAAGAGGTTTCACTTCACATTAGATCGAGTACAATGTGAGATGCTGTTTGTTTGGTTATAATCTGCTTTGCTTATGAATTTCTCAGGACAAATAAAAACTCATGGCAAAAATCAGAGTGGCTTCTTTGATATTTGCAGCTCACATCTAGTTTCATGTTTTGCAGCCTGGGAAAAGTCTCTGAAGGAGAACTGGAATGCTAAGCCTGTGTATGTGGTTGGAAATGCTACTGCTTCTCTAGGTAAGGAACTGGAAAGGTAGCCCAGCAAGCATAGATGGTCTGGGGCTGGGGGACATGGCAGGCTGTCTGCTTCCCAGCTTAGCCGTGGCTGTCAACAGATCGCTTTCCAGGCCACTCGACTTAGGGGGCCTTCCCTTAGAGCTACGGAGACAGACAGTGCTCTCACTACAAGGACACCCAAGAGAGCACCCACACCAGAAGCCACCGCCACAACCACCTCATCTCAGAGATGATACCCGCCCTTCCACCACCTTCCGCTCCACTCACACAGGTGGAAAGGCTGACACGGGCCTGAATCCCAGGGAACACTGGGGGCCACTTTACTTCACCCCAGTTTACATCTGCTCACGTGATGCATGAGTGAGAAGCCGGTGGCGTTTGCACTGCGGCCATCGTTTGTGGCTAGGCAGTGTATTGAGCGGCTCCTGAGTGCCATGCCCACAGCCACGTCTCTGCAGGAAGTCTTCCTCGTCAGTGTCCTCAGCAGACTGGCCGTGGGTTTCCTGTGTGGAAGAGCCAGAGCCGAGGTCCGTCTGCCTTTTGCTCACGTCACAGCCTCACAGAGTGGTTGGGGCAGCCCCTCCCACACCCGAAACGACCTGCGTTCATTGAGCTGGGTGTCCTCATCCTCCCTTCCCTTCTCCTCAGCCTGCCTGGCCATATCTGCAAGTAACTCCTTTCCAAGCAGGCCTGTCTCCCTCACAAAACTGGGGCTGTGTGTGTGTGTACTGGTCCTGAGACTTGAACTCAGGACTTAGACACTCCCTAAGCCTCTGTGCTCAAAGGACTAGCTCAACCATGTGAGCCACAGTTCCACTTCTGGCTTTTTAAATTTTTTTTTTTGGGGGGGGGGTTGGTTATGGGGCCTGAACTCTGGGCCTGGGCGCTGTCCTTCAGCTCTTTAGCTCAAGGCTAGTACTCTACCACTTAAGCCACAGTGCCACTTCCGGTTTTCTGATGTTTTTGTTTTTTTGTTTTATTGGACATAAGAGTCACGGACTTTCCTACCCAGGCTGACTTTGAACCGTGATCCTCAGATCTCAGCCACCTGAGTAGCTAGGATTATAGCTAGAATTACAGATGTGAACCACCGGCACCCGGCTCCTTCTGGATTTTTGTTTGTTCATTGTAGATGAGAGTCTTACAGGCTTCTTTGCTTGGGCTGGCCTCGAACCTCAGTCCTTAGCTCTCAGCCTCCTGAACAGCCAGGATTATAGCCGTGAGCCACCAGTGTCCAGCTTAAAACAAGGGTTTTCTAGAGACTCCTACAAAGCATGGTAGATCCCAAAAGCTGGCCATCTTCTGACTGGTCAGAAAGTAGCCTCCACTGAGCTCCTTCCCTGCGGCCAGAAGTTGGTTTTCCCAGGGCCTCATACAGTCTTAGGTCCACGGGTTTGCTGTTTTCAACTCTTGGAGATGAGTCACGAGGTTCCGAAGGGTGAATCCAGACAAAGTGTCAAGCCAGGACCAGCAGCTCCCTCTCCAGCGGGACATCAGTGAGCTTCCTATTCGACCTGGGTGCAATTTATAAAGCCATTTCCCCTAGGATGTGCACGTTTGAAAGCCATATAGAAACAAAAAGACTTTGATAGCCATTTAAGGAAATACATTTCTTTGTTTCTTTCCAGTGAGTAAAATTGGCCTGGATACTGAAGGAGAAAACTCTGGAAATGCAGAAAAGCTTGCAGAGTACATTTGTTCCAGTGAGTATGACCCCAAATGAGACGCACCCAGTGTTTGTTGGTGCCGCAGCTGCTAGCTCAGGGTGTGTTCTCAGGGGTGTTCGGGGCTCAAGGACTGGAACCTGTGTGTAACGGTGACTATTTACAGTTGTGTGTGTGTGAGAGAGAGCGTGCACGCATGCGTGAGTGCATGCGAGGCTCGGGCTGCGTCCCTTTCCCTTCTATCCCAAAGGACTTGAGTAACACTTGAGCGACACTCAGAGGAAAACCCATGGAGACGAGGCTGCGCAGAGGCCACCTGAAGGGCTCCTGACGGCGCTCGCTGCCGCTCTCCCGTCTGAGTGCTTGCTCTCTTCCTCTGAGGAACTGCTTCCTTCTTTAACTCTCCCCAAAATACTTGCTCCCAGGGAAAGATCTGACTCCAGAAGCTCAATGTTGAGCCAAATGTGGAAGAGGGTGTCGAGTGGCACTGGTTTTCAGGTGTTTGTGTTTAAGTGGTAATCAGCTAATTATGGAGTTCTGGGCTGAAGGATACAGAGCAGAGATCCTTGGAGCCAGGGATGGGAAGACGAAGCGTGCTGTGTAGGGCGGTCTTACCCTAGGTTGCATCTGCCTCCCTCCCCTGTGCGCCATTCCAGCTGTGGACTGGGGCTCGCCTGGCCACGCAGGACTGAAGCGGAGTCCTCTTACCGTATGGTACTGAGGAGGAAATCAGGAAGTTGCCCAAGGGCAGGAGGGCCAGGTGTTGTAGGCTTTGCGAGCAGTGTTCTCCATCAAAACTCGTAAAAGCAGCTGTGGCAGGAGAGCAGCTGTAGACAGTACACAGCTCTGGGATTTGGCTCTGACCCAGGAGTGTTATTTGCCAACTTCTTTCCAGAATGATTTTGGCCTCTGCTGGCAGGGTCAGGCGCCGGGGCAGAGTGCTGGCCGCTGACCGTGTCCTCACCCTTGGGTGATGTTACTAGGGTAAGAAGGGAGAGGAGACACCTTCAGAAGGTCTCATGACTTTGAAACAAAAGTAGATGGTTTGGTTTTGGCAAAAATATTTTCAGGCCAGGTGCAATAGCTTATGCCTGTCACCCAGGAATTGCCTGCCTGGGAGGCTCTGTTCCTGGAGCTGGTGAGCACTCTGGACCTGGGGGACGGGTAGCTCTGCATTGGGAAGAAGCGGGCGGCGCGAGCGTGGCGGGGCTTCCGCTACCACGTGGGTCCCCTTGAGTCTGGGCTACAAGTCAGTATTTCCCATAGGCCTCTCCTCAGCTTCCGTAACTTGCGACTGTGTCTCACAGAAGCCCCCTGGTTGTAGTGAGGACTGAGGACAGCGGGCGCCTCTGGAGCTTCCGCTCTGAGGTTGATACATAGCCGCGGCTGTCAGCCCAGAAACTCGGGTGTCATGTGGAGGTTGCTTTTAGGTTGCACCCAAGCCTCTTTCCCTTCCCCAGAGGTCAGGTGTGGGGCCAAAGACGCCAGGCCTCTGATCTCAGGGTCCGTTCCTCCGGCTACCAACACCCCTCCTGAAGAGTCACCCCAGGAGTCTAAACCCCCGTCACGCTGGAAAGAGCTTACTATGCTTGAAGTGCTCCTCTCATAGCCGTGCCTCAGCAAGTTCTGGGCACTGTAGACGCGGTGTGCCGGGAACCAGGGGCGAAGACTGAATGTGTACTTTCTATCGAATCAGTTTCACGGGTGGATGGATGATCAAAACAACACCAACAACAACAAGCAAGCCGCAAGCAGGGGAGCGTCCTGCTAGTGCCAAGTCCCGCACTGCGCACACTGGGAGGGGCGTGGCGTCCTGCTGTGTCTCACTGTCTCAGGCAGCTGCGCTGGGGAGTGGCAGCTCTGTCCACTCTGAGCAAACACCTGAGCGCGGAGAGGGGCCGCCAGCGCGGGGCGGGGCAGCCGCTCCGCACTAGGATGGGCCCGGAGCCTGCGTCTGGCTGCCTCCAAAGCTCTTCCATTTTCTTGCTCTTTATACTTTGTGAAGATCCCAGACCAAAGTGTGTTCAGCTGTTCGCTGTCAGATGAAGTCAAAGCATCTTTTGAAGTGAAGAAGGCAGGTTTGCAGGTTTTTGTTTTTTTTTTTTTGCCAGTGCTGAGCTCAGGGCCTGGGCGTGTCCTTGAGCTGCTTTTGCTCAAGGCTAGCACTCTACCACTTGAGACATGGCGCTTCCAGCTTTTTCTGTGTACGTGGTACTAAGGAATCGAACCCAGGGCTTCATGCATGCTAGGCTAGCACTCTACCACTAAGCCACCTTCCCAGCCCCAAAAGCAGGTTCTAAAAGCTCATCCCACTCACATGTGGGTTTGGGCATGTGCGCAGTGCTGACCAGTCGCCATGGCAGCATTTAGAGCCGGGCCACATCCTCAGGGCTGCTCTGTAGCCCAAGCACTGCTCTCCAGGGGGACTCAGGGATGTCTCGCTTTGCTCCACTAGGACCTCGCACCAGTATCCTGATTGGGCTATGCTAACAGACAGAAGTTTCTGTAGAAACTTCTAAGCTAGTCCTATAGGATACTCTGAAGCTGAAAACATAAGCTCAGGAGGCTGTAATTTGGGATACAAAATCTTCCCCACTTGCTGGTGACAACTGCTACTGGGGCGGGTGTTTGTGCCGCCCCGGCAAGGGTTGGCTTTAGCTCAGCTCCTTGTCGCATGATTTGTCCCCATGGTCATTGTTCTTACCATCGGCATAGGAGTTTGCTTCAGGGGTCTATGGTGCAAGACACAGCGGGACTGAGAGCAAGCCCACATCAGGCCGTGTATTTCTAGTGCTGTTTATGAGGACGAAGGGCATGCATTGAACACTATCAATGACCATCTTTTATAAACATTTGCAATGAGTGTAAGGGCAGATCCTTGCACGCCTCGTGAGACAAAGTGCCAGCTTTTACAAGGACAAGCATTGGGTTGATAGATGGGAGGACAGAGGCTGGGCTGGACTCAGTCTGATGCCTCGGTTCTGGAAGGAGGCAGAGGGGGGCCTGACTCAGTCCTCATCTAAGCCCAGAGCCAGCAGGCAGCTTGGCTTGCTATGCCAGCAGGAGTCGGAGGATCAGCATCACTTTCGAGCTGTCACCTGTCCCGTAATGGATGCGGGACTCATACGGTAGACACTCACCCTTGTCGCTGCTGGGGCACACTGCTCCGCGTCCTTCCAAAAGCCTTGGTTACTTCTAATTTATTGCCAAGATGTCTGTAGCTTTGCAGATAGACTATAATAAATCTTCCATTTGTAATTAGTATACCCAAATAAAATTTGACTTGGTTTTAATGATTTTCTCCCCTACTGAACTTTGAAGCTCAATGTTAAAAGCTGAAAATCCATTTCCAGGGCTGTGGTACACAGGCTGATTCCTAGTTATTGCTTATTTATTTTACTTAACTATTATTACTTTGAGCAAGGCACGACTGCAAATATTTAGTGCTATTAACTCCACTGAGATGAATTAATTCAATCTCATAACGCATAGAAACCTAATTACAATTTAAATGGTAAAGGAGAGACGACAGTTACAACTTTCATTAAGGAGGCAGAGTCCTAAGAAGGCTGCCGGTCATCATGTGAAATGTCCTCCCGCACTTGGGAGTCCCTGCAGCCGGGCACACCGTGCTTCCCTCAGAATCCTTGGCCTCAATTGCTCATGATGGGCCGTCAAGTGCTCAGAGCACATGACCTGGGTATGGTTACAGGTCTGCAGATATATAGGCTGCATGCCTAAGTAGCAGGCAGAGCACCTACCTGCCTTGCAAATGTGAACTCCAGTACCACGAGAGAGAGAGAGACAGAGACAGAGAGAGAGAGAGAGAGAGAGAGAGAGAGAGAGAGAGAACGAGACAGAGACAGACAGAGAGAGAGAGCGCATGCCTTTTGGTCTTCAGAATCTGCAGACGCCTCCTCGGCTGCCTAGTACTGTGCTGGCACTGCAACACCCTTCCCCTTCTGCCCTGACAGCCCAGCGTGCCAGGCGCCCTCCCCGTCCCAGGGGGAGCGGGGCCGGGTGAGAATCACTGTGTTAGGCATGGGATTGGCCTCGTTGGGTTGAAAATCAGCCAACGTTAACTGTTGCATTGATGTGTTTGGGTTGGGAGGAAAATCCACAGACATCAAGCTTATCTCCAAATGAGTGAGTTGTCTTTGCCTTCATGAAGGGAGATAGCTGCAGTAGATCACCCCTCACTGGGCATATCAGTTTCTCTTCTATGCAGTAGGGCCATGCCTTTCCTGGGAAGTTGGCGGAGCTGGTGACACCTGGCCAGGCTGTTGAAGTAAACCAGCCTCTGCCCTCTGGGCGCCCTATACCATTGTGCTGTCCACTGTCCAATCTTGTGCACACCGTGACATGACTGAGATCTTAAGCACCACCACCCCCAGCCCTTCCTACATAGAGATCAGAAAAGAATGAGGAGCTCAGATCCCTGGTAGACCCCTGGCAGGCCTTTGGGCCTTATTGCCGGATTCTCATAGCTGTTCCAGGAAGAGTTTTGGCTCCTCGCCTCCTGCACGCCTCCCCGTCCTCCCATCATAGGCTGTTAACAGCAGACACACCTAGGCTCAGATGTACTGCAGTGGGTGAAGAAGACAGCTTTGAAAAAGGCATCACTGGAAAAGAACCCAGCAGGCCTCATAGTTAACAATCCCCCATCCACTGTGAGCTCTTCTGTTGCCTCTTGTATTTACTTTAAATAAAGGAAACATCCACCCGTGTGCAGTGTTACATGCACTTCAGACAGCCCGCCCGCAGCCATTCCTGTGGTTTAGTGCTGCTTCCAGGAGGCAGTACAGAGTAGAGAGAACTTGTTTTGTTTCTTCTGACTGCAGTCACTGGAGACCATGTGTCAGAGAGATGTAAGGCTGAGGGGAGTTTGTAATGCTGTGGGTGAGTGACTCCGGCTAAAATTCCTGGTGTCGGATGGACAGATGTGGGGAAAATGGTTCTTCTCAGTGTTTTCACATTTGGGGGAAATTTTGGCAACCCATCGGTTCTGCTGGATGGTATTGTTACAAATGGCTGTTCAAACGCTCACTGCGAGGGCTTAGGGCTGAATGTGCCCTTAGCTTTTCAGTGGCAGTGGGTGGCGGGCACAGACGGTGACACCAGGCCTCGGCTGGGGGAGCAGTTGCCAGGGGTCGTGTCTGTTGGGGGCTGCGCCGAGCCACTCGTGGCTGCCAGTTCTCCACTGCCCCGCAGCATGAGCCCCGGCTGAGCCAGGGCTTCTCCCAGAGCTGGGAAATCCTTGCCAGATCCTCACCTTCCCGACTTCAACTGCAGATGCGCGTCCTAAACGGTGGCCGCGAGCCAGGAAGCCACTTCCAGACCAGAGGAATTGCGCACGTGCGAATGACAGCACACATTGGGTGAATTTTACTTCTCACCCACGTGCCCTGGTATGTCCTTCATCTAACGACCATCACAGTCAGGTGTGGCAGCTGCTCTTCCCAAGCACAGGTGCTGGCACTGAGATGCGGGAGCGGAGCCGCGTCCGGAGCCCAACTGGCGCGGCCGCTGGGCCGGCAGAGCTCTCACCAAGTCTGGCTGTGTGCTTTCAGGGGAGCCGTCGGCCCTGCCTCTTCTGTTTCCCTGCGGGACACTCAAGGGAGAGATCCTGCCGAAAATGCTCAAGGACAAAGGTGACTGACTATGTAGACTGGAGATGGGGCACGCTGAGGCCCAGGGAACTGGAGATGGGGTCCTGAGGCCCAGAGAACATACACAGGGCCACAGAGAGGCCGGGGCTCCCAGCTTCTGGCCTCCCCCACAAGCTGCCCTTGCACCTCATTTCTTGGTGTTTTAAGTCTTGTCTGTGTGGGATTCATGGAGTGGCCAAGGACCACCCTGTGTTGGACAAATGCATACTGGCATCATCGGTCCAAACCATGGGTTCAAATCATGGCTTCTTGCCCTTGGTCTTCTATAATGGAGCTGGTCTCAACGGCTGAGTGGCTTGTTCCTGGAGGTTGTGTCATAGCTGGGCCCCTGCTGACAGTGTGCTGGGGGGCGGTGGGGGCTCTCTCACACCCAAGTGCACTACAGTCTGTCCCCTGCTTTTGCTTGTGCCCAGGGATTCCTATGGAGAGCTTAAATGTCTATCAGACAGTTCCACATCCGGGAATCCGAGAGAACCTGGGCAGCCACTATTCCAAGCAGGTATGTGGTATGTCCAGGAAGAGCTGGCAGGGTGGCCCCCAGGCCGGGCAGAAGGAGCCGCGCCGGCTTTCCCACGCGCTTCTCCCACCCCAGCTGTGTGGCACTGAGGAAGTCACCTTTCTGGTCTGTGAACGGGGAGTGGTTCTGTCTCAGAACCATTCGTAAGGATTAGAGAAAATCATTCAGGCAGAAGTCTTCTTGTGAAGCATGGCTGATCTTACCAGTGCTCTCCGCTGTGTGGGGCTCAGGCTGAGCCGTGCCGCACGGAGCCCACTGCTCCGTCAGGGTTGAGCTTGGGGGGCCTCCCCCTTCCCTTTCCCCTCGCACACGAGCAGGGTGGCCAGGGCTGGCGGAGCTAGGAAGCATCGTCTCTCAAGGAGCGGGTCTCCTTTTCTCTTTTCCCCACAGGGTGTCCCAGCCAGCATCGCATTTTTCAGTCCCTCTGGCCTTAAATTCAGCCTCAAGTGTATTCAGGAGTTATCTGGTGAAGACATGGATCAAATTAAGGTACGCTGCTCTTTGGGCGTTGATCTTTTCCATGAATGATGCCAGGGTGTGTGTGTCAGGTCAGAGGGTCCGTGGCCAGGCAGCTGGCAGGGCCGCTCTGTGGGACTGGAAGGCCCCGCCCTCACCCACGGCCTCCCCCAGCCTGTCCTCATTTGTGACGCGTAGTCTTCACAGACCAGTGCATGTCCTCCCTGCATGGACTGTCCTGAGGTTGGAAGATTGACCCCTGGTAAAGCCCTTGGAGAGGAGCATGGTACCCACACCGGCCCCCTTCCCCTCCCAAATTCCCAACTGAACACTGCTAGATAGTTTCCTTTTGTAAGCATTCCTGTTCTAAAAGGACTTATATTGGCATTGTTTAGGAACTACACTTGTGAGTCTCCAGTAATCACAGCCCTGGGGTGTCTTAACGGAAATGCCCTTGAACTGCTGCCCTACCACAGGTGCCCCTCACAGGTGCGTCTCCTGACTGGAGCGGTAGGCTGAGGAATTGTGTCCTGCCCCTGGTCACACCGCTGTGACCCAGGAAGATGATGCCTGGCCATTGTTCATGGTGATCCATCACCCCACCCCAAGGGGCAACTGGGCAGGGAGCAGAGTTCTTCTAGGCATAGCTCAGACAATTCTCATGTAGGTATCCAGCAAGACAGGGATGATTGTCCTTTCACAGCTAGGAAACTGAGGCTCAAAGAGGTTAAGCAGTTTGTCCGAGTCAGATAGTGAGTCACTGGGTGCCCAGCTCACCCGTGGGGCCCCGCAGAAGGAAGGTAGCATCAATTCTACAGTTTGCACACCTAGCGCAGTGAGCACTGTGAGACATCAGGCTGGGACGCCAGGCTTGGCATAGGGTCTGCATGTCACAGGGCACTGCGCTGCTCCAACCCTAAGTCTGCCCCGTGGCATGGACAGAACTTGAGGCCACCCAGGCCCAGCCACCTCCCAGCCCATATTGTCTTCCTGGGGTCCAGTATCGGGAAGACCGTACCCCAGGGAGGTATATCTTGTGATCATCTGTGAATTCCGAGGGAGGAAAAGGCTCAGATCAGACTCACTCTGACCAAGCTGCCGGCCATACACTGTCCTGCTGTCTTCATGGTTGCCATGTGCTGGTCCCATCGTAGGGACTTCTTTAATTTCCTTAAACATAGTATCTTACTGAGGTAGAATTTACCAACTATAACACTTAATTGTCTTACTCGGTATATACTTCAAAAAATATAAGCCAGTGGTGTTCAGGATAGTCACAAAGTGTGCAACCATCACAACTATTTTCATTCTAGAACACTCTTATCACCTGAAAAGAAACTGCACCCACGAGCAGATACCGCTGTGTGCTCCTCAGCCCTGGCAATCACTGATCTGTTTTCTGTCTCTGTTTTCGTCCATTCTGGATGGAATCACAGAGTATGTGGCCTCACAGGCCTGGGTTCTGCGTTGTTCACCTTGTTGGTCATGCAGCAGTACTTCATTCCTTGCCGGTTCAACCTCCAGTAGAGGAGTATTCAGGAAGCCTACCCTATTCATGGATTGATTACTCAAGGTTTGATCAAACACAGATAAATTCATCAAAAGAAATTCCCAAATAGTATGCTTTCATTTTCACACACAACACAGCTCAGTGGATGCAGGAGACTCTGGCAGTCCCACATTGTCAATTGTGCTTAAATCCTGTGATCTGCTGAGTTTTTCTGACCTTCATTTTGCAAACATATACAACTCTCAAGCATATGGTGCCCAAAAAGCAAGGTATTAAATAAAGTGCTCAGTGCTAGTGAAAATTTGAGATTTACTTAAAGGTTGCATTGTATAGACATTAAAGACCTGCATTCCCAGTGCAGTCCTGAGCTCTGAGCACCCAAACGTGTCTGGTTTCCTGGGTGCTGGGCAGCTTGGAACCACATGCCCAGATTCCAAGCTACCATATACCACACTTCACTATGCATTCATCACTGATGGATAGCGAGGTTTTCCATGAATAAGACTGAGTATTAAAACAAGTTTGTGTGGGTATGCTCTCATTTCTCTTCTAAACCTGAGAGCGAGTCTTGAGCTCTGTTTTACTGAGGATCAGATCAGCCCTTCGGCAGGGTTCCGGAAACAGAAGCAGAGCTGTGTACAGGCTAGGCACTTGCCCTGGCCACCCAGCCCTCTGCCTGTTCTTCCTCCTGGCCTCGCTCTACTGGACCCTGGGGATGGCATGCGCTCACTCATGCTGAGATCATGGCTGCCCGCTTCAGATGAGCTGAAGACTTCACACAAGAGCGATGTCCTAACAGAAGAGCTCACACACAGCCCCTGCTGGGTCCTGAAGCCCTGCCGTCCCTTCCTTTGCAGTTCATAGCCATCGGCCCCAGCACAGCCCGTGCTCTGGCTGCTGCAGGCCTGCCTGTGAGCTGCACCGCGGAGAGCCCCACACCGCAAGCCCTGGCCACCGCCATCAAGAAGGCACTGCAGCTCCAAGGCCGCTGCTGAGCGGCTGGGCTTCACCCCAGGCAGCTGTCTTGGCCCTGCTCTTCCCTGGGGCAGTGGCAGTCTCAGGCTCGTGGGAAGCTGCCATTGCCGAACTCCTACCTCAAACCTAAGTGGAAGCATGGAGGTCAGAGAGGCTCAGCTCTGGGGCCCAGCATGCACCTCACTATACTCCAAGAAGGCCGACACCGAAACCTGGCCCAGGTGCACACGGGCTTCTAGACCCTGCACCCTAGGATCAAATAAACCACACTGATGGTATATGCTCACTACTGTGTCTTATTCTCCCTTGTGTGGTTTGCAGTCCAAGCTGTGTTCATGGGGAAATGGCTTTGCACTGAAAACATCAGACAGCCAACATGTCTGGTATGATGAGGAAATTTGCTGTGTATGAAGTAGACCGGTGGCTCATGCCTGTTATCCTAGCTACTCAGGACGCTGAGATCTGAGGATCATGGTTCAAAGCCAGCCCAGGCAGGAAAATCTGTAGGACTCATCTCCAGTAAACCACTAGAAAACCGGAAGTGGCGCTGTGGTTCAAGCAGTAGAGCACTTGCCTTAAGCTGAAGAGTGTAGGGACAGCGCCCAGGCTGAGTTCAAGCCCTGGACCAAAGAAAAAAAGATCTTGGGGGCTGGGAATGTGGCTTTAGCGGTAGAGTGCTTGCCTAGCATGCATGAAGCCCTGGGTTCCATTCCTCAGTACTACATACACAGAAAAAGCCAGAAATGGTTCTGTGGCTCAAGTGTTAGAGTGCTAGCCTTGAACAAAAGCAGCTCAGGGACAGTGCCCAGGGTCTGAATTGAAGCCCCAGGACTGGCAACAACAGCAACAAAAAAGACCTGTGTGTGAGCTATGGACAGTTGTAATTTGAGTCTAGACCTTCCGCTTGGCGCAGGTCAGTCAGATCAGCGGCTCCTCCAGCATTGGAGACTGAGATGGATTTACCTAGAAATGTACAACCCTGCACAAAGACTTGAAAATGCCCCACATTTTCATTTCCAGTTCTTAAGTGCTAGCCTAGAATGTCTGTCTTTCAGTCCATAAGGGCTGGTGTCAGGAAAGGTCTCTGCACTATCCATGCTCCCCAGACCGGGAGGCTGGGCCTGTGCTGAGCGCCTCCTACAGGCCGGTGTTGGCAAAGGCTGTCCATGAGTCAGCTCCATTCCTCATGACCTGACACCCAAAACTCACCTCGTATCAAACTCAAGTTAGTAGAAGGAACCATCCAGGACCCTTGGCTCTCCAAATCTTGTTGCTGTGGTTGGCACATGGTTGATGTCTGTCCCCGGAGGTTTGGCATGGTGAGAGCCTGGTCCCCACCTGGCACCTGGGAGCTGATGGAAACTTAGGTAAGGCCAGGCCTTGCCCGACTGAAGTCAGACAACGAACGAGAAGCACTTGTTCTTGAAAGGCAGGTATGAAGATGGCACAGAGGGACCAGGAAAAGCTAGCAGGAAGCAAGAGTTTAAAATTAAAGTAGGGGGCTGGGGAGGTGGCTTAGTTGTAGAGTGCTTGCCTTGCATGCATGAGGCCCACATAAGCAGAAAAAGTGGGAAGTGGGGCTGTGGCTCCAGTGGTAGAGCGCTGGCCTTGAGCTGAAGAACTGAGGGGCAGTGCCCAGGCCCAGAGTTCAAGCCCCTTGACCGACAATAATAATAATGTAAGAACCAGGTGCCAGTGGCTCACAGCTGTGTGAGGTCTGAGGATCTTGGCTCAAAACAGTCCTGAGTAGACAAATCTGAGACCCTTATCTCCAGTTAACAGCAAAAGTCCAGAAGTGGAGGTGAGGTGCAAGGGCTGGAGTGCCAGCCCGACTCTGGTCTACTTCCTGTGCTCTGCACCCCTCTTGTCACGCAGGACCCGGGTGAGCATCTATGGGAGCGGCGGGGAGAGGAGGAAGTGTGAGGTTGGGGGACAGGACACCGGGTGCATGCAACCCCATGTTTTCACCCCAGCAGAGCTCAAAACGCAAGCGCCTGCGCAGAGGCAAGCAGCAGGGCCATCTAGGGGAGGGACCCGTGTCCGGGGGACAAAGGCACTTGGAATGTTGGGATCTGAGCGGAACTGAGGAAAGGGCCAGGCCCTGCAAGCCAGCTGGGGCCGAGAGGCGAGGTGCAGGACGCGCATGCGCAGCAACGTCGGGCTGAGAGGCCTGGGGTGAGCCATGAGGCCCGCGCGTGCCTCTACAAACAGACCAGCGTGGTCACCATAGAAATGCAAACCACAGGCACGTGCAAACCGGGGTGAGGGCGGGGAGGAGCCGGCTTCAAAGGCAGTGCACCTGGGCCTGCGGAGGCGGGCACACTTGGGCGCGGTGTGCGAAATGCCTGCGAGTGTATAAAGGGCCTGGGCCTGGCTCCTCGAGGGCCGAGACCGACGACCGATCGCGCAGGCCAGGCCATGCGTGCTGCCCGTGACTTACCTGCGACGCTGCTGCTGCTGCCGCCGCTGCTGCTGCCGCTGCTGCACCGGCTGGCCGCGCCCCGGCCCGCGCAGGCGCAGGCTGAATCCGTCTTCCACAGCCGGGACCGCTCCGACCTGGCGCCGTCCCCGCGGCAGCGCGCCAAGCCCATCGCCGACCTCCGCGCCGCTCAGGTAGGGGGAGCGCCGCGCGTGCGCAGCAGCGCTCGCCACGGCGTCGCCACGGGGGGCACGTGCGGCCCAACGCAGGCTTCGTGGTTCGGGGAGGAAACCCGGGCTCCGCGCTTCCCCTCGCGCGGTCGGTTCTGTGGCGCTGGGGATGGAACCCGGGCCGAGCCCAGGCTGGGCCTCAGTGGGGCCTGACGCGCGTGCGCGGCCGCGGGTGCGTCTCCCACACCCTCCAGGTCCACCCCCAGCTCGGCCCCAGGCCGCAGGCCGCGCTGGCCTCAGCACAGGACTGGGTCCTGCCCCGACCCCCCCCCCCCACGTCCCATGGGCTCTGGGGGCAGGGACGGACAAAGCAGCAGCCAAGCCCGCATGGCAAGCGCTCCTCAGACTAGGGCGCACTTCTCTCCCACAGAGATTCCTGTCCAGATATGGCTGGTCCAAGGTGTCTTCAGGCCGGGGTCCCAGCCCCAAGGGGCCCCCACCGGCCCCCTCGGGCTCCGCCCTGGCCGAGGCCATGCTCCGGTTCCAAAAGGCCAACGCCCTGCCTGCCAGCGGGAAGCTGGACGCGGCCACACTGGCGGCCATGAACAGGCCACGCTGCGGCGTCCCCGACACGCGGCCCCCGCCCCAGGCTGCTGGGAAGACCCCGCCAGCCCCGCGGGCCCCGCTAGGTTCTCAGCCCAGGGCCCGGCCAAAGCGTTTCCTGCAAGTGCTGCTGCCCAGGCCGGGCAGGCAGCGGGAAGACTCCCTGGACAGTGGGGCCATCTGGGCCTTCTCCAAGAAGACCCTCACGTGGAGGCTGGTGGGAGAGGCCTACAGCAGCCAGCTCTCCGTGGACGAGCAGAGATACATTTTCAGACTGGCCTTCAGGATGTGGAGCGAGGTGACGCCGCTGGACTTCCGCGAGGACCTCACGGCCCCCGGGGCCGCCGTGGACATAAAGCTGGGTTTTGGGAGAGGTAAGAAGGCCACAGGCTCGGGACCCATGCAAGTGTCACAAGTCCTCTGGGTCAGGGCCACCGTGGCTGCCACACCCCCGCGTTGTGGCTCAACTAGACTGGGTGGCCTTGCTCCACACGGACACTGGGGCGGCTGCGCTCAGTCCTGCGGCTCAGGTGGCTTCTGGGGCTTGCTTACCTGCAGCCAGGTAAGTTTAGGTGTGCTGGTCAAAGAAGGGCGCCCAGCCACCTGCTCCCATGGAGAAGCCCCAGGTGCTGCCTGCGTTTGCTCGGGAGCACACACAGGCAACCACCCTGTGCCCTAACTTCTCTGCAGCTCAACTGTGATCTAAGGGTGTTTCCTCTCCCGGCACTGCTCCCCGCACTTGGCACTGCCATCTTTTTTTTTTTTTTTTGGGGGGGGGTCCAGTTGTGGGGCCTGAACTCTGGGCCTGGGCACTGTCTCTCAGCTCTTCAGCTCAAGGCTAGCGCTCAACCTACTTGAGCCACAGCACCACTTCCGGCTTTTTTCTTTTTGCATATGTGGTGCTGAGGAATCGAACCCAGGGCCTCATGCATGCAAGGCAAGCGCTCTACCACTGAGCCACGGCCCCAGCCCCACGGCACTGCCATCTTTATCCTTCCTGGTGGTATTAATGCTGAAGCACACCACCTGCAGCCTGGGCGCTCCTCCCAAGGGAGGTCCAGCCCTGCTGCTCACACGCAGCTTCCAGAGGTTGGATGCTCTCAACATCTATGCAGGGTGGGGAGTCTGTAGCAGGCACCCCTTATTCACTGCCACCACGCTCTCTGCCCTTGCCAGGCCGACACATGGGCTGTCCTCGGGTGTTTGACGGGAGTGGGCAAGAGTTTGCTCATGCCTGGCGCCTGGGGGACATTCACTTCGATGACGATGAACACTTCACCCCCCCCACCAGTGACATGGGCATCAGCCTTCTCAAGGTAAGTGGTGGGAGCTGCTCCCCTGGGTCAGCGAAGGGCAGGGCAGCAGCGGGCTGAGTGGGAGGCTGGAGCTCTCCTAAAGGCTAGTGGATCTCTGGGGGTGGATCCCCAATTCTTGCCTGACCCTGTCTCCTGGGCAAGCCTAGCTCACCAGGCACAGGTCTTCTCTCTGCAACCTAGGGACCCATCCCAGGGGTATGCAAAGGCCCAGGCTGGGCCCTGCACCCACGCTTCATGTTCCCCTCTAGGTGGCCGTCCATGAAATTGGCCATGTCCTCGGCTTGCCTCACACCCATAGGACGGGATCCATAATGCAACCCAATTATACTCCCCAGGGGCCTGCCTTTGAGTTGGACTGGTCAGACCGAAAAGCAATTCAAAAGCTGTATGGTAAGGTGGGCCTGGGCCAGTCCTCCCCCAGAACTCCTAGACGACACGTGGGGTCCGCTTCCACTCATGGGGAGGCTGGCCCCCAAGGAGCACAAGGCTATGCAACTTGGAGCATCTGCCCTCTAGATCCCCATAGGATCGGAGAGCAGAGGGCTGGAGTACTGGTGTAGCACACAAGGCCCTGGTGTATTCCCCGGGACCACACAGTGACTGCAGCCACGGGTGGAGGACAACGCTTCTCTCCTCCCCGACAACACACCCAATGTGGGTGGTCCCTCCTTCGTCCTTCCTTTCATTTGCCTCCTGCCCTGCCTGGGAGGAAAGAGGACCCCTACAGCTTCCTAGACACAGGGAGGGCCCTCGGTATCTCCCCAGGCTGTGCGGATGG